CAAGCCTGTGATCAGGGAAAACGCAACAACAACAAAGATCAGAATGGTTTTTGATGCTAGTGCTAAACCAGCCCCATTGGCTAACAGTATTAACGAATGTATGTTCACTGGACCGTCCTTGCAACCACTACTTTGGGACATCTTGATCAGAGCGCGTATGACACCAAATCTACTTCTGGCAGATATCCAGAAAGCCTTTTTGCAAATTGGTGTTAAGGAAACGGACAGAGATGCTTTTCGATTCCTGTTCGAAATCGATGGAAAAGAGGAACATTTCCGGTTTGCAAGATTACCATTCGGCGTCGAAGCCAGTCCCTTTCTGCTTGGAGCAACGTTGGGATACCACCTTGAGCAACAGCCGACAAGATTTGAGGAAACTGTGACAGCTCTTAAAGAGAATACATATGTTGATAACATCATGAAAACTGGAAGTGATACTGACGACTTGAGGAAATTTAAAGAAGAAAGCTCCATCATTCTTGAGGATGCCAAACTCCCAATCCACAAGTGGGAATCAAACATCGCGTGCCTCGAAGACGAAAACATGCCAAACCCAAGTAAAATACTCGGACACGTCTGGGATAAACAAGAAGATACATTAGAATTCGAAGCAGCAACCATGCCTGAGAACCAACCAATAACAAAGAGGAGCATTTTGAGTCGGTTAGGAAGAGTCTACGATCCTTTGGGAATGGTATCGCCTACCATGGCTGAGGGTAAGAACATATTTCGAGATGCCTGTGAAGAAAGAAAAGGTTGGAACGCTGAAGTGTCAGAATCCTTGAAAAGAAAGTGGATCAAATGGAACAATCAAATGAAGAATGTTAAAGTTCCTAGAGCTATAACTAAGAAATCGGACGTGATTGAAGGCATTCAACTCCATTTGTTTGCAGATGCTAGTAACCTTGCTTGCTGTGCAGCAACAGTCGCAGTGGTAGAGCACAAATCAGGAACTGTGAAAGGTCTGTTAACGTCCAAATCTCGAATTTCCAAAAAGAACACCACAATACCGAGGTTGGAACTTGTGAGTGGTCAAATGGCGGCGAACATGGCAAGGAATTTATACCATGCGCTACTGCGATTGCCTGTTAAGTCTATCATCATCTGGATGGACAGTATGGTCGCGCTTTACTGGTTAAGTAACCCTGGAAAGCCTTGGAAGACTTTCGTCGCTAATAGAGTTAAGAAGATAGCAGAAATTACCAACGAGATTGGTTTGGTGTGGAAGTATTGTCCATCAAGTGAGAATTTGGCGGATCTAGGCAGCAGGGGAGCTACAATTGAGAAAATGGTAAAAGACGGATGGTTCACTGGTCCTGAGTGGTTGTTACATGTAGAACAGTGGCCGAAACAACCCCAGCTTAAAGTTACTACACACGTGAGCGAAGAGAGCAAACCCAGCATGGTGGAGGTCTTTTTTACCAAAGAACGAGAGCCTGATGAATGGGATGCGCTGCTGGAAAGAAGTTCGTATTGGCGCACATTAAGAGTTACAGCGTGGGCACTGAGATTCCTGCACAATTGTTTGGCGAAACGGCGTAAAGAGAAAAGAAAATCTGGGCCCATCGGAAACGAAGAAATCGTGAAAGCAAAGAATACATGGGTGATAAGGATTCAGAAAAATATTAACCCAACTCTACAAGCACCTGGCTGGAAAATCTTCGAAGATAAGAACACAAACATTCTCAAATGCAGGGGAAGAGTTCGGGGATATACTCCAACATTTATCGAAAGAGGATTGTTTGCAGAGAAGCTTATCACACATACACACAATCAAATTATGCACCTAGGCGTTGCAAATACAATGGCCGCCTTGCGAGAAAACTGGTGGATCCCTCAACTAAGATCGAAGGTAAAGAAGGTGATAAAAAATTGCAACGTTTGCAAACTGTACTCCACGAAACCATACGGAGCGACAGCGACAAGTAACATGCCTAAATTTAGAACTGAGACCAGCAAGCCATTTGAGATCACTGGCGTGGATTTTGCCGGACCGTTAAGGTACAAGGTCAACAAAAAGGAAGAAGGAAAGTGTTACGTTCTAATCTTTACTTGCGCTGCATACAGAGCCGTTCATTTGGAACTAACTAAAACTCAAGAAGCTGGTGAATTTCAGCGAAAACTTAACGCATTTATTGCACGTAGAGGAAGACCTCGCTTGATGATTTCCGATAATGCTGCTACTTTCAAAGCGACTGCAAAGTGGACTAAGCTAATTCGAAAAAGTGAGAAGCTTCAGGATTTCCTCGCAACCCAAGATATCTATTGGAGATTTAATCTGGCAAAGTCCCCATGGTGGGGAGGCATCTACGAGAGGCTGATTCGTGAAATCAAGAAAACCTTATACAAAACCTTGGGAAAATCACACCTATTCTTTGAAGGTTTGGAATCGGTCGTATTGAACATCGAAAGCAACATGAACAACCGTCCGTTAACTTACGTAGAATGTGATGGTGGGGAGGAACAAGTCCTGACGCCAAACATACTCATTCGGGGAGAAAACTCTTACATGTTCGACGATGTTGAAGATGAAGAAGACGAGCTAACCAAGATGCAAAGAAGACTTAGAAAAGCAAAAGATGATGCATGGAAACGATGGAAGCGGGAATATGTGCATAGTTTACTGGAGAGCCAACGAGTCAATAACAAGGTTGTCGAAGCACCACAGATTGGAGACGTTGTCCTGGTAGTGGGAGAAGAGAAGAACAGGGGAGAATGGAAAAAAGGGAAAGTGCTTCGACAAGTTCGTGGAAAAGACGGTGTAGTCAGAGGAGTTGTGCTGTTGCACAAAGGGCATACTATTGAACGACCACTGCAGTTGATCTGTCCGCTTGAGATTCACTGCACACCAAACGAACGACACAAAGAAGTTGAAGAAAAGGAATCGGAGAAAGAAAAGAGACCTCAGAGACAAGCCGCAAAGAAAGCAATCAAGAAAATAAATGAACTAACGCAGTTGGAAGAGGACTGAACATTTAATATATACGTTGATATTCGGTTTTGAAGCTATAAAAATTAAACTTTAATTTTTAGGGGAGTGTGTACGGAATAGTGGACCCCCCCCATATAAGTGACGTAAGCATGATTGACGTTTGCATAAAAGAAACATTAAGAGCATGTTGATGGGGGGTCGTTTATTATTAGATTATGTGAGACGAGACAAAACAAAACAAGTGATTTGTGAGCGTGAGAATTCTATATTTTTATACAAATAAATGTAATTTGTCTTTGTGATTTCTGTGGTTGTATACCTGTTAACAATTTAACAAGAGAAGTTCGGTATATTATACTGTAACACAGTCTGTCAAACTTTGTGGCATTGCTTGTTGACCCCGAGCAGCGCTACCCAGGTCTGGGTAGTTGATTCTGATTGGTCACAACTTAATTCAATAGTTAATAGATTCTGATTGGCTTTATAATTATCAACGATCATTGGACTTTGATTTTCAAAAACAAAATAATATTTTCTAGAGCTGCTCCCAATTAATCAATTATTTTTCCACAATCGATTAGGCTTAACAGCAGTCCGATAATCGGATCATCTATAACACCATATATATAACGCCATATATAACACCACATATATATAATGCCTGATACGGGAATTATTTAATTTTTTTCCTGATTAAAAAATTGCGACAAGATTGTGATTAATTTTAATGACAAACATTTTTCAAAACTTTGTCCGTCAAATATAGTCTGATCAGGTTTACCAGTTCTGCGAAAATATCTTTAAAGTTTTTTATTAGAAGAATTTATTAGCATTTGTGTCCAACATTATGGCGTGCAGATTTTAAAACCTTGTTTCACGTTTTAAAACGTTAGTTTGGCCACACCAAGTGCCATATTTGAGCAATGAAGTTGACAGGTTTCTGTGCAATTTCCAAAAATTTAGTAAACACTTACAAACCTGCAGCATGAGCATGTCATATTTAAATTTATTTAATTATCAATACGATTAATCTATATATTAATCGATTGTTGACAACGATTAATCGATTACGAAAATTAACCGATGGGAGCAGCTCTAATATTTTCTTGACACTTGATGTTCATTGTAAATTTTACTTCTCTCTATGCTTTAAACTACTAATTTTTTATGCAAAAATGTTTCTACTTCCATTGCAGATTAATACGATATCTAATTGAATAAATAAAATAGATAGATAGATTGATAGAAATTTTATTTATACATGGTGACACCGTCAACCAAAGCTGATTTCCACAAGGGGTGTGTGCCAAAAAAAAAAAATCTTTTACATGTGCACGAAAGTGACATGTAGAGCTATTTACCAAATATACAATATAAATTTTAAAAGATATAGAGTATTAAAATACTAACATATTAACATCTAATGAGAAAGTTGGTAGAATATTTACAGGTACATTATTTACAATACTTAAATAATCATAAATGTGAGCAGCAATTTTATTTTTCAAAAGGAAGAAAGTGATTTACTTTCCCTAATTTCTTTTGGAATAGAATTCCAAAGGTTTGCTCTGTCATACTGTACATGAAACTTTTTTTCATGTAATTAGTATGAAGTTTTGGTAAACAAAGACCACATGAAATGTCCCAAGGTGATAGTTTGTTTTCTCATATTTATATAATTCAAATAAATTTGTGAGCGATTTGGGACCCATTTTATTTAATACTTTATAATACATCATTTTTGCTTTAGCCTTCTTCCTTTCTGTTTTGAGTGGTTCCCAACCCAATGTACGCAAAATGCAACAACAAGTTGAAAATAACAGCAATTCCTCGTCGTGATGTGATTTGTTTACATTAGCCAGAAAAGTCAGAACTTTGTTGGTGTTTGAACTCAGCCAATCAAAATCAACTACCCAGATCTAGGTAGCACTGCCGCTGCTGGGGGTCGCAATGCCACAAATTTTCAGACCGTATTACAGCATAATATGTACAGTCTGTACACAGGCTAGTCCACACCAAGTAAGCTGAAACATTTGCTGACCACAGTGGGAATCAAACCCATAACCTTTGGTTTGCTAGTCAAATGCTCTACCAACTCAGCTACGAGGCCACATTGGTTCAAGCGGGTGATATACGAGGGGCCCGCCACGGCTGAAATTTGGTACACTCGACTCAGAAATTAACAGAAGTCAAACCCGAAATCAAGAAATCACAAGAGAAATCAGTGAATTTTGAAATCAGAAATCACTCAAATCACTTGAAACTTCATTATTATTGAGCCCATAGTTAAAAATATTTGCATTATAAATCAACAGAAATCCGGTTAGAAATCAACAGAAATCAGGTTAGAAATCACTTAATTTCAAAATCTCATACTCTTTCGAACGCTGTGGCAGGCGCCAACGGTGATATACGACTGCGGTGGGAATCAACCTCAACTGAGCTGAGCTACGAACCTGGTACAGTATAGCTCAGTTGACAGAGGCATTGTAGCAAACCAAAGGTCGAGGGTTCGACTTCCACCGCAGTCAAGCAAACTTTTCAGCTTGCCTGGTATGGACACACTCAGAGACAACATCACAAGCATATATCTTCACCTGAGTGCACAACATCAAAAACAAAAAAATTCAAAATTGTCTACATGCAATTAACATACATTTTGCATCCTTTCTTCGTGCTGTTAGCAGAAAGTCTTTGATTTCATGTATTTCTTTAGGCTATACGATAGATAAAAGTTCACATTAGTCTTTGGATGATGTTATTCTTCATCACAAATAGGCGCAAGCTTATTAAAAATATCAGACATTACCATTTTGTTGGATGCCCACAAACAGGTCAGTCTAAAGAATGAATAAAACACCGATATTCAATAAAAATAGTAAGGTACATTGTTGGAAGTATAGTAATCATAATATGGTATTGTCTACGGGGAAGGATTTTATTTAAACCTAGGATTGCAAAGGATTTAAAACTCACCAACAAAATAAGATTTTATACAGAGGTGTCCGATTGAGAAAGAGAGAGAAGACCTGAGTAACCAAGCCTTTCTTTATCTTATTCTGCGCCCGCGTTTAATTTCGCCTCGATATTTTATGAAAATTTCTGAAAAATTCATAAAAATAGGTTATAAACATTTCAAATTTACTAATACCAAATACCTATATATACATTAAGTGTTGTTTAAGGTTGATTGTGCATAGCAGCCTATTTGCAGCCCATGGCTTTCGTGAAAATCAACCTTTTTATTTATTATATAAAAATAAAATCTTTGTACGGAGATAATTCATGTAAGAATCGTGTAACGGCTTATCATAAAAATAAAATATTTATATTATTAATTTTACGTGGTGTTTCCCCAAACGAAATAAAGATCAATAAAAGTATTATAAAAATATTCTTCGAGAAAGGTTTTCTGGGTTTCAGCAGAGGTTTGATTTTCTGAAGTTTTGAAACATAGGAAAGTGCCAAAAGCCTAGACCTGATACCAGTGATGATTTGACCAGAGCTACGTTTAAAGTGGTTTAATACTTTGGTGACCTTATTTACATATGTCCCCTTGTACATAATACCCTAGGTTCAGAGATTTCCAGTGGGGCAGTGGTGTCTCACGAGTTTTAGTGGTTTTAACCAGTGGTTTTAAGTTTTTAACCCAGCACCGCCTGAGTGCAGGCTACAGCTTCACGAAATAGGAAACCCCCTGATCCAGGGATACTTGTTTGCGTACAAGTTATACCAAGTTTTCGACAGTTACGTAACGTAGCTGTCGTAAACTTGTAAAACTTACTGATGCTTTAATTTTAATGAATTTTCCTAACTTCGAACAGCTAACAGTTGTCCTAAATTGTACAATTTGAAGTTTGCGGTTTGCCATAAACATTAATCTTAATTAAGATGATCTCATACTGGGCCGGTAGATCGCTCTATTGATTATATTGTGTTTTAGACTTATGTTGATGAGATCATGGTTGCCTGTGTCTATGTTGCAAGAAAAATTTGCAGTGATTACTCTTCATGCAGTAAGCGTTATATATAGGGCAGCAGGTGGTGCCGTAAATTTCTTACTGAGCAAGAAAATTAAACTAAATCATCAGTCTATATATATATATATATATAGTGAGCTGATTTTTTCCCCGCAATTGCGCGTTGACCGCATTTTGTTTGCACAATAGTGCTTAAGCCTATCCGTTAAATTAAGTTCCTTCCCCCTTTCAAGGACACTTGACGTTGCTCTCAAATGTTGTCGAGAAGACCTCGTAGTCGTAGTTCAAGGTAAAGAATAGATTATATATTATTGCTGTGAATAACTACAGTGAAACACGCAATTTGATTGGTCAATAGCCGTGCAGGATCAGGTTATCCTGCACTAGGAATTAAAATGCCTTCGCGGGATTCTCAAAATTCCGATTGTTTCACTGTAGTTATTTTATAAAACAATTACCAAATGGTTTTCCAAGCAGGATAGCGTGATCCATGCACTTGGAATGTTGCTCGACTTTCGGAAAGCGTAAATGAATACATCGAGTAAACTTGCGCTTTCCGAAAGTCTCGCGACATCCCTCGTGCATGGATCACGCAATCCTGCACGGAAAACCATTCGGTATTCCTTTATTCGTTTACAATTATAGTATAATCACTAACTGAAAAAAATAATGTAGTTTTGTTGAATCGCGCATGGTGACTAATTATTTTAATATATAAATCAAAATCATAATAGGTTTTTAATTAATGCACAAGATTGATAATATTTTCGTGTCTGCCTGGACAGCCTGATGGGCCGGTACATCGCTCTATTGACCTTATTGTGTTGAGATTCATTGATAAAGAATGGCTCGATTGCGTGTGGGGAAACTTTTTGGCAACAATTTTGAAAGTCACTCTCCCCGTCCACATAGGAACAAATTTTCACTCCCCTCTTCTCCAAACGAGTAAACGACTGTCTGAATCAAACTATAAGGTTTCAAAATGCTGAAAAACACTAAATAGTGCCTTCTCGGAGACGGAAGCCGAATATATTTTTAGTAGATGGGTTTCTTCGACTTTCCTATACACTTTTAGCCTAACCAGGGGCAGTTGCAAAAAATTCAGTTCGAAAATTCCATCTACAGAAACCCATCTACCGATTAGTTCTATCGAACGAGATGCCCAATTTTTTTACAATGGGTGGACTATTTGATTTTGATGGGCGGGTGGCCTGGCAGCTTGCTCGATATGGATTCTACCCGCTCCCCCATCAAAAATCAAATGGTCTGCCCCTGTGTGCTGATCATTTCAATATAGACTCAAATATAAGTTTCACAAAATCTATTCTTTCAGTTTATTGTGATATTCAGTGTCAAAATACAAATAACGACAAAATAGAATAAAAATATTGTAACAGGAGTTAAATCTAGGTTCTGCCTAGATTAAAAATGTTCATACAATTAAGCACATTGTTCTTACATTAATGTATTGCAATGAACTTGACATGTAAAAAACTAGATCTAGAATTACTAAAACTAAACAACAAATGCATTGTCTTGAAAGGCTTGCTTTTACGATCTGATTTGCTGGCTTTGAGTCCTATCTAATCATGCTATTTTCCAATCCTATCTCCCAAGGTTATCCTGTGTTATCATAACCAGTCCTAGCTAGTGTTATCCTATCTTATCATAACCGACCCTAGTGTTATCCTATGTTATCGTGTCCTATCTAATATAACCATGCACCAGTACCAACAAATCAAACCATCTAAACAAATCTAACAAGTTTCTTCACCGATAGCGACAACTTTACCATCACAGCATTTGTCTGTTTGAAGAGCATAGACAACTCGACCACAACAACCTTGGCTTTCTTCACTATACGACGCCTTCCCACAGCACTCCTTCAAGCCATCGTGAACAGTTCCTTCGCAACAAGTTTCGTCCTCAGTGTCATAAGCTTTATCTTTACAGCAACTCTTGTTTTCATCTGCATTGGAATATAGATTTCCTTTGCAGCAGATATCTGTATCAGCATCGTACCCTTTCGTACCGCAGCAAGCATTCACGTCATCCGTTTTGTCATGAATTCCACCGTCGCAGCAGTATTGTGAGTTACGGTTGTAAGGTTTATACCAGCAGCAGCCTGTATCGCCGTTACGTTGTAAAACCTCACCTCCGCAACAAGACTCGCTTGATCGATCATAGACATTTTTGTTTTTACAACATCGCTCCGTCTTCTTGTTGTAAGACTCCTTCCCACAACATTTTCGCCCTTCGCTTTCATGAACTCTTCCTTCGCAACACATTTGGCTTGTCGTGTTATAAGTTGTTTTACTACAGCATTTCTTGCTACCATCCTCGTTCGATTCTAGGTTTCCTTTGCAACAGATGTGAGTGTCCTTGTTATAATTACTTTTTCCGCAACAAGCATTTTGCTGGGCAGTCTTCTCCTGTATACCACCGTTGCAGCAGTATTGTGTGTTGCGGTTGTAAGGTTTATACCAGCAACAGCCTGTATCGCCCTTACGTTGTAAAACTTCACCCCCACAACAATACTCGCTTGAACGATCATATACATTTTTGTTTTTACAACAACGCTCCGTCTTCTTGTTGTAAGACTCCTTCCCGCAACATTTTCGCCCTTCGCTTTCATGAACTTTTCCTTCGCAACACATTTGGCTGTTCGAGTTATAAGTTGTTTTACTACAGCATTTCTTGATTCCATCCTCGTTCGATTCTAGATTTCCTTTGCAACAAATATGAGTGTTCTTGTTATAGTTACTTGTTCCGCAACAAGCATTTTGCTCGGCAGTCTTGTTCTGTTTGCCACCGTTGCAGCAGTATTGAGTGCTTCGGTCATACAGTTGAGACCAGCAGCATCCATGGGTCGTTCTGTCATAGGCCTCATTATTGCATTTTGGCGTATAATCTGGTAAGGGAAAATAAATGACAGAGGTTTATTATTTGTGTATAATATCAGGCCAAATCCACATGAAACCGAGACACCTTTTCAGAAATGCTATTCGAGCTACACTCTTTGACATAACTGGTTGAGACTATTTTTCCTCTATATACAAATTCGCATGCCCCTTATCTTAAATTCCATGTTGCGCTTCTTAAACCCCTGTCCCCCCAACTCAATGTTAAGCTTGTGTCGTGGTAAATTACCAAACGTTGTTTCGACTTTGAACAGGGGGGAGGGGGCGATGAAATTTGGTTTCATAATGTGCCGATTAACTTTGCAACATTAACGTGGAATGGTCTCAAGGGTTATGTCCAAGATTGTGGTCAGTTTGGTCTCGCACACATAAAGGCAATGAAGTCACATTAGTCATAAGCATATTTAGTCATGCATTGCATTTGCGGGGAATTTCAGCTTAAACTGGGATGAAATCTCAGCTCGGTTTCCTGGTAATTAGCTCATAAATATGAAATGAATAAAACTCACCATTCAAGAGTTCTTCCATAAAATCTTCCTCGAATGACGCTTTAGCCCAAACTAAAGTGAGGGTGGTCGCGAGCACGAAAGCCAGCAGGAACTTCATCTTGTGTAGTCGCTTTATCAGCAGAGTTAGGTTATTCTCAGTAGGAGTTGTGTCTTCAATCGCAGAGAGAGATCTGAAGTCTTTTCCCACTTCGCGTGTGTGGTGTGCATTCTTGTTTCACCTCGGTTAAATACGTTCCCACCATGCGTGACCAATTTCCATGCACAGTTTCCTCACAAAGCCGTCATGGGCATGCAAGCATGACTGTTAGAGGGCTACGGAAACATTCTAAGTCCATTATGTAATTACGCCTTGAGTACCAGACTGGCTCTTAGCAAGACAATGGCGGCGTGGTGGTCTGATACATCGCTCTGGTGATTCCATTGTGTTAATTAAAGCTTTATGTTGCTATGTCGCAACAAATGGCCTAAGTAGGAAACTTTTTAGCCACAAGCACTCACTAGCACTGATCTGAAAAAGTGAAAATTAGGACTGGATGGTGCTCGCTAATGGCGGCCATCTTGTGTGACCACCACAAATCTTCTATGGACAGTTTCTGGTTATCAGTGAGAAACAAAGGATAAACATTGTCGTCTGAATAGAAAATTATCAACAGTGGCCTAACTTCCCCCTTACATTTGCCGTGAATTGTTAATGATGTCGCATGGTACTAATGATCGAGATCATGATCACATCAAGATGGCATGCGCAACCACAAATCTCATTATCTAGTGTTTATATACATAAAGATTATGTACGGGTATTTGTATTAATATATATTATTATAGGCCACAGTCCGGTCGGGTTCAAATGCCGTAACACAATCAATAATGTTAGGGACTGGTCATTAATAATGGGAAGGGGGGGGGGCGGTGGATGAGAAAAGGGGGACGGTTTCAACTATTTCTGCCCGAATTGGGGGCGGCCTCAAACTGAAAAATATGTGACAAGGGGCAAACTCAATTTTTTAACCCAATTTTTTAATAGTTTCCTACTCATTTTCAATCTCTCGCCTTTATCGTATCCCACAAAATATTTCGCCTTTTCTAGTTCCTATAATCGTAGTTTCCATAGTTTATTACGTATATGCAGTTCACCATAAGAGTCGGATTAAATAACAACCATTTTGGTCCTCTGATTATTTAGGCTACACAATGTCTTACACCGGTACTTGTACCATTACCTATTTTACACAAAAAAATGTAACGAATTAAATGTTCGAGTGGGGGATGTCCTAAGTTTTCCAGATGATTCATCTGAGATGAAGGTGGGGGCATCTTGAAAATAAAGGTCTTGCGATCGGGGGGAGGCTCTAAAAAATGTTCAATGTTTGGTATTTATCACCTACCGCGGGGTTCAAATTCATATACTCAGTGAACCGGGCATGAATTGACGCTCTGGGGGAGAGCACAAGTTCAAATCCGTATTTAAGCGCACAAGATATTCTTCTTGCGATGGCAACAGTTTTTCAACTCAATTTCAGAGCCATCATCAGGGAAACATGATAGTAATGATACAATATATTCCTGAGAGAAAAAACTCAACACTGCTGTATTCGTGAACTTACATATTATTATCAGGGACTATTGTAAGACGGCAGTGATAACCAATTTGTGCAGTGATAAATGGAGTGATATTTGTACAGTACTGGCTTTCTTTAACATCTAACTACAGGGTGTAAAAAAAAATTAAACGCAACCTCGGAATTTCCCAAAAAATTGACAGTTTTATAAGGACAAAAGATTTTAGGTGCCTGGGAATTTAAAATAGCACAACTGTCAAAATTACTGCACATGCGAGTGCATAAAGCAAAATTTATGCATTTATTTAACAGTATACAACAACAGTATATGATCTATTAGCAATTCGATTTCAATTCCCACTGCCCAGGGGCCTAAAACTTTTATGCCTAAGAATTGCAAAGTGGAGTTCTTAGGAAATTCCGAGGTTGCGTTTTTTTATACACCTAGCTGTATAGGTGATATATGATAAGGAGTGCATAATTTGATAACAAATTACGGACCCCAGCCAACACACTGTACTGGATTCGCTGGTCACGACATCCTCGTTTGCTGAATTGCTTCATGCCCAGGAGCAACGTTTAACAACAAAGGTTTATTCTTTCGATAACGTCTGTATGTTTCTGCTTGTTACTATCATTATAAATGTTTACGCTATTTCATTGACTGTTAAAATTGATGTCGTGACCAGCGAATGCATGCATGGTAGTGTAAAAGTAAGGCCCCGGCCTTAATGTGAAAATTCCAATCATTAATTCATCTACCAATCCCTTTTTTTGAACAGCTATAACGAGTAACGACAACGTGCTTCGTTGCGCATGAGTAAAGCAGTAAAACTATGCCGACACACAATTAATATCGACGGCTTAAAACGTCAGTTTGCTTGCTAAAGGATTTGAAGGGGGTGCTTAGTAATTCTTAACCACACATAACGGTTGCATGATCAGTCTTCCGTTCAAATGCTCAGAACATAATTGACAATGACTGAGAAGTATACAGCTACTGAGATTTCAATTAAGGTTGTCCCCCAAGCAAAGGGGAAAAAATTGAATACGGGCGCGAAAGGCTGCTGGGAATCGCTAATAAATAAATGAATGAATTTATTAGCGATTCCCAGCAGCCTTTCGCGCTCGTATTTGACTTTTCCGCTTTGCTTGGGGGACAACCTTAATTGAAATAGCTGTATACAGTATATCACAATAGAGATCTTTAGCATAAGCATGCTAAATTAGTAAATATCTAACGAACAACCATGACTGCCCAATAATCATGCAGTATTGAAATAGCTCAACTGCATAATCGCCCGGCCAGTTATTTCCTCTGTCATTTCTAATTATATAAATTAAGTCAAAGACGAAAAGAAATTTAAAAAAAACAAAAACAGCAAGACTATTTTTATTGTATATGACTAAGATTTATTATTTTTCATAAGAAAAATCAACAACCTTACATTTTTTCAATCTTTATTTAAATTAGGTCCACACTCAGACCATTTAATGTTGAGAAGTTAATCAGTTAATTCGCTCGTATAGTTTCTAAGATATTTTCGATTTTGTTCATCATCTCTGCATGGCCCTGTTGCCGTGTTGGCTTCTTTACTTTTTCGTGTTGTTCGTTTCTTTGTCTTTCTCGGCGGTTCTATATGGATCTGGGCTGAGTATAGCAACAGGTTCGTCTCCCAAATCACTTTCTCCGTTTGAACTTGTCTCGAGGTTTGCTTGCATGATTTCTGAGTTAGCTTTCTTGTAAATTTCACCCCAAATGTTTATGATTGCATTGTAAAGATCACTTGAAATGACTTAATAATTTCTTTTACAGAATTTTGGTAACTTGCTTCCATTGCAAGATATTCAACTTTGTTTCATATGCAAACATCACCGGTGTGACATCACATCGCATAATGACATTTTGAAAACGCAATATTTTACCTTGAAAAAATATTTTTACAAACAAATACAGAGGGTTAATTACCAGTTATAAATTAGTACATATACAAGGGCAATTAAGTTTTTTAGATACGTATTCGTCAAGAAAACCATACTTTTCTGAAAATCATTATGCGATGTGATGTCACACCGGTGATATTTGCATATGAAACAAAGTTGAATATCTTGAAAAGGGAACAAGTTACCAAAATTGTATAACAGAAATTATTAAGTCATTTTAAGTGATCTTTACAATGCAACCATAAACCTTTGGGGTGAAATTTCGTGTCATAGGCACTTTAAGATTGGCGTTTACGACCCATGCAGTGCTGGCACCAGAGTGTGAGAGAAAATAGCCTGGGTAGGAATGACTCTAAAAATGCCATTTCCGACAGTCGAGAGACTTCAAATTTTCAAAAAGGGTAAAACGTAAAAACGTTGTTGGAAAAGTTCAGGTAAACCTAACCTTTGTACCCCCCTCAAACGCCACGTCCTGGCAACGGCCCTGCTGTTCAATTCGAAGTTAGGAAAATTTGTGCATTAAAATTGAAACAAATAATGGCTGCGTATAGCTGTCGACACTTCTTAGGAGCAAGAAAATTCAACTCATTCATGCAGTTATTTGCTATGCATCAAACTAGTACATGACTATGTAGTTAGTGTATATAGTGATATTTTTTTCACTCAAATAATTCCAAGTTGATCACACTTTGCTGCAAGAGAGTGCTTAATTAAGCCTATCTATTAAGTTCCTTCCCTCTTTCAAGAACACTTGACGTTGCTCTCAAATGTTGTCGAGAAGACCTCGTAGTTCAAGCTATATAGAGATAAAATTATTGCTGCAGATTATACACGACACCATAGTCTGCTGATTGTATCCGCTTTGTCTTTGTAAATCCCAAAGGTAAACGTTTCTTTTTCCTGCACATATAAGCAAACATCTTATCTCATTTTTTGTACACTTAAGCCTGGTTCACACTGGTCGTAATTCGTCGGCGATCTATTGTATTCTTTTGCGATGGACAATGCATTTTACATATCAATGACCACAGACAATGGAAATCCACGATTCTTACGACCAGTGTGAACCAGGCATTAAGCCGTGGTTTTGGCATATGTGGTGCTTAGCATATAACGGTTGATCAATCTTCCGTTCGAACACTCAGAACATAATTGACAATGATTGAGAGGTATAATCACAATGTCATGCAACGCTGACTGCTTGCATATTATACAAGAATTTTTGATACTCTGTCGTTCTATTCTAAAAACCCAAGGTTAAGCCACAAATGCGTCCTTCCAGGTCGCAGATTATTTCCATTTTAAGGTATACCGTTACCCCAATTTTAAATTGTTGTATAGTTATTACACTGTCTGCATGGTTGGCAGCAACCAAGTGTCACTTAGGAGCTATTATAGTCCCCTTTGCTTGAAGGGAGGGTTGCCCACCCCGGACCTGTCGAAAATATCAGCAATAAACAGCAGACCAATATAGATAGAGGGACGAACGGGACGAAAGTCATGCCATGCAAGGCACCACCCCAAGTAAGAAATGTACTGAAATAATAATAGATTTTTCTATACACAGATTATTATTAATCTATTATTGCTGCCAATGACAGCCACAACCACGGATTTCCACGAACATGTCCGTTCTGGATCAAACACACTATCTAACTGTTCTTTATAAACTTTATCAATGCATGGACCAATCCCCAATTAACCAAAATTTTGATCTCAACAAGTCTAGACAAAATTCCATCACAGCATGAAAGAGCATCACAAAATTAGTAATATTCCAAAGTTTCGTTGCGAAAAGTTGTAAAAAGCGGATAATATAGCTTTGCGAAATTTGCAATTTTCAGTCATTTTGAGTTACGCACAGAAGTGGTAACCATTTCCCGTTTGTAATCTAAAATGACTGAAAATTGCAAACTTCGCAAGGCTATATTATCCGCATTTTACAACATTTTGCAACGAAACTTTGGAATATTACTAATTTTGTGAT